CAAAATCATTTTATTTTGAGTGAAGGACATACATTGGGTTGTTAGGTGTCTTGCATCCAAATTTGGTTTCAATTCGTCCAGTGGTTTTTGAGTTCTGTTAATCCCACAAACAAACATTATATTTTATTATATATACATCTTTAATGTGTGTATGTGTGTATAAGTGTGTATGTAGCCGTCTCCTGCCACGTGTTGCTGTGACTCAGACTGTGTATATGTGTTTTATGTGTGTATATGTGTGCATAGATTTGAGTGTATGTGTATATATGTGTGTTTGCGTTTATATATATGGTTTTGCTTTTTAAGTCTCTTCTGCTGTGTTTTCCAGTGTTTTTATGAGTGATGGCCACTTGTTGGCCTGATAGGTGTCTTGTGTCCACATTTGGTGCCAATTCGTCCAGTGGTTTTTGAGTTATGTTAATCCCATAAACGAGCATTACACATACACACACACACACACACACACATATAGATAGATAATACTAGCCGTCCCCTGCCACATGTTGGGCATATGGAATATTAGTGCCAAGTTTGGTCCAGATCCATCATTGTTTGAGTCCACAGTGCTCTCTGATGTAGGTGAACTACAACTCCAAAACTCAATGTCAATGCACCAAACCCTTCCAGCATTTTCTGTTGGTCATGGGAGTTCTGTGTGCCAAGTTTGGTTCAATTCCATTGTTGGTGGAGTTCAGAATGCTCTTTGATTGTAGGTGAACTATAAATCCCAGCAACTACAACTCCCAAATGACAAAATCAAAAAAAATTGAGTGAAGGACATACATTGGGTTGTTAGGTGTATGCTGTCCAAATTTGGAGTCAATTCGCCCACTGGTTTTTGAGTTCTGTTAATCCCACAAACGAACATTACATTTTTATGTATATAGATTATTCCTTTGACATATGTTGTATCTGTTGGGAGTATTATCTCAAACCTTAGCTCTGTATTTAGTTTCTGGGTGTTCTTATGAGAAACACTGAAAAATCCTTGGGAAAAGTTTGACCTATAAATGTAGAAAAATGTAACAATGGATTGTGTAGTTTCTGCTTCCTTCACTTCGTTTCTCTGGTGGCATTTGTTTCCTCTATTGGTAATCTATAGTGCTTGTAATACAATGAAATCAAAATATGGAAGAAACACTTAAGGCACAAGCCAATTTTAATCTCAACTTTGACTGTGTCTTAATTGCTTTAATTTTGCCTTTTATTCAATTTAATCTTCTTTTCTGTTCTGTCACGCGCTGGGCTTGTAAAGAATTTCCTTAGAACAGGACGTGCAACCTTTGCCCAGCAGGAAGCCCAAAGAGAAGTTCTCAGAGGTTTTCCACCACAAATGATCTTTAGATGGCTTGTGAAGTATAACAAAGTCTTTTATTAATGAACAATCAAACAGAAACTTCTCTTGTCTTCGGAAAGTTAAACAAATGATTCCAGATTTTTATGCAACTGGTGGCTTCCTAAACTTGCCCACGAAGGACAGGCAACTGTCTTCAATAACTTCTTTACTTTAAAGGAAAATCCCCTTTTTAACTTCTCCCAGGCTGACTATAATTTAACTCTTACTGATGTGGGCTCCGCTAGCGGGTCGAACTGCGTCTCGAAGCACCGAGTGGATCTACCAGTAAGGGCTTGGATATACTCCCGCTGGAGTTCTTTGGTCTTCCAAACTGTTCAACCTCTGAAATTCCTCAAAGTTTTAGGACTGCTTCCCTGGAAATCTTTGGGTGCTCTTAAGACTGTTCTCCCCTGGAAGGTCTTAAGGGTTGAAGCTTTTGTACAGGGGAAGCTTGCACACGTCCTGTACATTAGCTTTCCTTGCTGAGACTAACTAAAAATGGCTCCCTTCTCTTCCCAATTGCCCTGAGCAAGGGGCGGAACCAAAACTTAACAATGATGGACAGGTGACTTGCCCTATGACTGCAACCAAAGGAAGCCATCTATCTGCAGAGCCCTTGAAACCTAGGGCTGCAAACAAACATTTAATACAAAGCAAATAAAGTTGGAGCTCCTGGTACAGCCGTACCAGCACATTTTCTTTTAATTGAACTTTTTGCTCAGTTTTATTGGCAGCTTTCTTGGGTTTAAATCCAGTCAATAATTAAATTTAAATGGTGCCTGGTGGTAGTTGTCAACTGCCTGCTTATGGCAACCCCATGAATGAGAGACATCCAACCAACCACCCTGTTCAGGTCTTGCAGGCTATGGTTTCCTTGATTGAGTCTCTCCATCTGGAACGCGGTCTTCCTCTTTATTTACTGTCTTCTCCCCTACCAAACATTATTGTCTTTTCTAGTGAGTCATGTCTTCTTACGTGTTTGCCAAAGGACAGCAATCTCAATCTTGGCTTCTAGGGAGAGTTTGGGCTTAATTTGTTCTAGGTGTTGTGACTCAGCTGGAACCACAGACACAGACTGATAGTGTTGTGACTCAGATGGGGTCTCAGAATGACTCTGACAAGGATGATGGGATTCAGGTTCACAATCAGGTTCAAAATGTTTCTGTTGTAAACAATGCAGAACAGGGTATACAAATTCAGTTTCCCACAGCAGGGAATGATGTTTTTGATACTGAAACTAGCCAGGTGCAAATTGACTCAGAAAAGGAGGACAGTTCTCAGCCTGATAGTAGGCAAGAAGACAACCAGGCTGAC